TTGAATTATCAATAATTGGAATTAACTATCATCAACTAACATTATTCATTATATCATTAAAAACATAAATGAAAGTATTAGATGCACCAAAAAAAATTCAAAATTTTAAAAGCGACTTTTGAAGTATGTTTGAGCGTTTTAGAATAATATTGCTTGCAGGAGAATAAGACAAACTAAAATAAAATGTTTAATATGCGTTTTATATTAAATTGTATTCATAAGCAATGAAAGCAAAACATGTGTTAATCAGAAGTCATTGGTAACACAAATACAAATATTTTAATATGCTATAAGTAAAGTAACATTTGGTAAATAATTTTTTTCATTGGATGTACTTAAATTTCCATTTGAACATCTTTGTTGTCCAAAATAAATAAGTGTATTGAACAAAGTAATCACTGATGCATATTTGCAAGAATGATGTGAAATCTCATGTTCAAAGTTTATATAGCATATTTTTTCCCCCCAAAATTTTGAAAAAGCAATATTCTGGGTCTACAAATATGCAGGATGATATATAGGCATTTAAAAATTAACTAACCGTTAAAAAGCCATATCCCTTAGACCGCCCGGTTTCCGGATCCATTATCAATTGTATGCTGTCAATCTTTCCAAAAGGTTCAAATATTCCTCTTAACATATCTTCAGTTATATTGAAATGTAACGAACCAACATATAATCTCATGGGACCAGTATGGACCTTTGGTGCTAAATTGGGCATTGAATTACCCATGCGATTTTTTTCAGCCTGTGTGTGCTGAACTACAATGGGTATTCCTAATAACTTTTGTCCTGTTAGACCTAAGGCCTGTAATCAAGACAAAAATAAGTAAAATAGTAATTAACATTTACAATATATTTGATCAGGGCATATATAGTTTCTTTTGGTACGATTTTATTGTACTAAAATGGACATTAATGTTCAAGATATATTTATTACAGGAATTCGCCACAAAGTACTTACCAATGGTACACTTTCAGGATCTTTAAACTCTATGTATGCAATGCCTTTGAATCTTCTGGTTTTATTACATGTTATAAGTCGTACATCCCTCACTTTACCCACACTGGAGAAAAAGTCCTCAAGATCTCTTGCTCTTATCCTCTGATTGAGCTGCATACAAAAAACTGTTCTAGCATCTCTTTCCTCCGGACTGAGTTCTTCAGCTGTTGACTTGTATCCGAGAGCATTTGGAGGTGTTCGCCCTCTGTGTTTAGGGAATGGACGTGGTGATGGTGATCTATTACGTCGTTCTTTACTGCGTCTTCTATAATCATGTCTGATATATAAAAATATTGAAGGAACAATTAGCATCATACAATACATAATAAAAATTAGATATAAAATTAAATCAATGTTTCACATAGCAGCCAAAAGAAGACTAAGTAAGTCAACTAATATAATTTGATAATATTTTGGAAACATTTAATTTAAATTATAATATATCTAAATTGTTTATTACAAATGTTGATCTCCTGAAACATATGTTTTATAATATAAATATTTATAAACTGTAAGTATATACTTAAATTGTTCTGAGTAAAATAATATCAAATAGTATAAAGTGATAACAAAAAATTTTACTCAAAATTCATTTAGCATAGATTTTCCCCCCAAAATGTTGAATAAAAACCAATCATCTGGGTCTACGTATATGCAGAATTCAATATTACACAATATTGAATTAATTATTAAACTATTTTACACAATAAAAAAAAAACTCAAACCTGTCCTTATCCCTTCTGTCTCTAGATCTGCTTCTCCTTCTGTCTTTTCTATCCCGATCTCGAGATCGACCTCTATCTTCTTTATCGCGATCTTTAACTCGATCTCGATCTCTGTCTTTGTCTCTATCTTTATCAGAGCGATCCCTATCCCTGTCTCTGTCTCTGTCCCCTTTGGAGCGATCTTTATCCCTGTCCTTCCTATCCCTATCCCTGGACCTACTCCGATGACGAGATTTGCTAGAAAAGAAAAGTTATTGATTACATATAATAACGATACTTATAACAACTGCATATATATGTAACATAGTAACTGTAAAAGGTTCATCTAATTTTGTTGAACCTCTAAAACAAAACATAATACAAATAACAATTCTAATTTAATTCTAATTTATCTAATTCTTGTTGAACTGTTAATAGTTATAAAGTATATATAATAAATTGTTTTGAGTAAAATAATATCAAATAGTTTGAACTAAACTGATAGCAAATATATTCACTCAAAATTCATTTAGCATAATTTTTCCCCCCAAAATGTTGAATAAACAATAATCTGGGTCTACAGATATGCATAATAAAATAGCAAGCATATCAACTATTGTACACCAAAGGTGAATAATATAGAACTACTATTATTATTTATAAAATTAGAAAGTACCTGGATTTGTGAGAAGATGATCCATTTTCCCGACTTCGTCCATTTGTTTTAGGTGCATCATCCTGTTAAACAGCAAAACACGAGTGAAGAAAGCAGCCAATGACACCGCACAGCAAAAGGTAAAATTCATATATCATTAGCTTTTTCTAAACAAATAATTATTTTAAACAAATGTTATAAACTTCTAATTGCAAGACGTAAATTTTATCACATGAGCATTTCATATTCCTCAATGTAACTAAATTTAGTAACTTGACAATTAGAAAATACATTAAATCTAAGCCCCTAAATTACAAATATTAAATCCTTTACAGCTTCATCCTGTTTTACCAAGATTTGGTAAAAGATAATTGATTGCCATCAATTATGAGGGAAAGTAGGATTTGGGTATGTTATCCGCAAGATTCACAATAGAACCTATAAATGTATGTCCAATATTTTGGTTTGGAGGATCATTTGGGCCCACACTTACCATCCATATACAGCTATATTGAGTGCATCTAGAGGTACTAGTGCTTTCTTCATACTACTGCCTTTTAATGAACGCTTCTGCAAAAGATATACCTCATCAGCAAACTAATGATTTTTCTAAGCGTTTCAAATAATTTGCCTACTAAAACCAAAAATCAGTAAAACATTCACACTTTACACCATCTTCTTTAAAACAAGTCTTTTGACAAACAAATACATGTGATTCACAAAAAAGTTGGTTTAAAAGTTAATAAACGACTTCTTGTGAATGCATTTGAAAAACATATCTTAATAATTGTAACCCGTTTCAAAACTATATAAAAACCAATAAGTTTAGAGTTAAAATAATATATAAAACAAAAAAGTCATTCACTCATTAAACGTAATTTATATAAATTAACTAACACTTCAATCTAAGTTCAATTATTCAATACTGTATATTTTGCTTAGAATCCACGATGACATAGATCCATGGTGGAGGTAGTTCGGATGACCTCATGATACAGCAGTATGCCGGAATTAACAGAGTGTGTGAGACCAGGTAAGCCTGGGATAACAAATGGGAACAATTTTCAAATAACCAAATCTATACAATTTTCAATAACAATTGCAGTTTTAAAGATATTTTTAATTAAAAAAAAATCTTTTGGACACACATTAACTAATGGATTTTATAACAATACAAAAAAGCATTAAAAAAACGTAATCTGGAAATATTTATATCAGCTAGTTTTATCTTATAATACACATATTATATATAAATATACATGATATGTATATATTAATGAATATATGCCTGAAATTTGCACAACTATATTCTAGCCAATTTATAGATAATTGGATTGCATCCCACTTATTTAATATTATGTAAGAGTAATTTCTATCAATTACTATAAAAAAAACTAATATATATTGTTAATTAGATTGATATTATGTTTTCAGAACGTTATGTACCTCTATATTGAAGTGTCACTGTAGATGCATACTCGAGAAATATCTCAAAGGTCTATAAATGTAAAAAATGAGGAATATTTAAGTATTACAGAAGCAATGAAACAACAATAACAGTATATTTATACTCACCATCACATTTACATTTTTATTTTACATTTCAATGAATTATAAAAATTAAAACTGCAGAAACATTTTGCAGAAAATAGTGTAAGAAAATTACAAAACATAGGCAAAGTACAATGTGATAGTTCCTTTTAGCGTACGACAGAGAAAGAGCTCACGAATATGTTTAAAATAATATACCAGTTTACATTTAAAGCTGGCCTTAGTTTATACATTATAAACAAACGAGGTAGGAAGCTTGGCTTTTAATGTATGTTACAAAAAATTATATACAAATCTAACATCAATAACTTGTTGGGCAACTATATATTTAGAGAAGCTACCAAAAATGAAACTCAAACCACTATTACAATTTTGTATTCCATAAGTTAGGATACACAAACAATTATCCTATATCCCATAACTGATAAAGACTCGATTATCTCTTTTACGGTAACACGCAAATCAAAGCAAGAGAAGCAGAATTACATTAATTGTGTAAATTTGAGTGAATAAGAATTTTTCGCAAGCTATTCCTCTATTAGATTTATCACAATGCCTTTATCAAAAATCGTGGGCGATAAGGAATGATAAAATTTATAATTCATTTATATAGAAGATATCAACAATTCAAATGAATATATTGACATATATTGATCCCAGCATACAAGTGAAGGCAATTAGAAATTGCATACTTACATCTTTTTTATAAGGGGCCTCTAGCATGGCTTCTACATCCAGGTCTTCCGCCATCTTGATTTCTGCAAGTTTCAAAAAGCGAACAAAATTCCAGCACTATTATAATAATTTAACCAGACTTACATCTGTAATTTATCGCCTGATAATATAGAAAATTAATTACGCTTTAATTAAATATATTTTTAAGAGCAATACGATCACAATTTGAGCGTTCAACTAGCATTCAAAAATCGACGAACACTTTCATGTACTTGCTCACTCGCTTGTTTCTATTTGATGACGATGAACTACAATGTTGCCAGATTGAAATAAATATCCTAGCAACCTGAAGTTGACACGAGAATTGGCGTTGTCAAAAAAAACTGGCCATTTTTATTGCAGATATAAACACACAAAACATCATATAATAGTTTGATTATATTATCTTTTATTATAAATACTATACGAATATAATATTTTTACATATCATATAAGTAATAAATAATTTATGCAATAGTTTTAAGAATTTGTGTGAATCATTTCTTCGTAATGAATTCTGCAACTAAGGTATTTGCATTTGTAAAATATCTTTAGTGATTACTCTTATATCAATAATTAATATCATTCCTTGATGATCTATTGGCTGACGAAATATGAAACAATATTAGTATTTTATTATGTACTAGATGATGTTTTAATATTCTGTGCAATTGTTATTGTTAACCTATAATATCATATAACATATAAATCTTATTTACATGTTATATGATATTATATTATTATGAAGTCTGGTATAATTTTATACTTAACTTTAAATGAATATTTATTAACAACTTCTTTTTCAGGTTGGCGAAATATTTACAGCTGCTGGGTCGGCATTCACCAAATTGGGTGAGTTAACTATGCAGTTACATCCAACCTCTGATTCACCTGCGGGGTAAGCATTATTTATTCATCTTCATTAATATTATTCATTATACAATATTATCAAAAATCTTGTACAGTAAGTGGACAGATGAAGAAATTGAGATGCTTCGGTCAACAATAGTCCGATTTAAAGATGAGCTAACAGTTATAAGTCAACACATCAAATCTAGAACTGTGTAAGTCTTTTTTAATGAACGTATTTGTTTTTTTGTTCTAGTACTTTCAATTTTCTCTAATAAATATAGTATGTTGTGCACATGTATAATGTAATTCAATGTAAAGTTAGCATTCATCACTATAAATGTTTTTTCTTCAATAATACCTTAATTTGTACATTAATACAAACATTAATAGCCTATGTTAAAATATCACATATAAATACGATAATGTATTATGTCATAATTTGATTACAGTGCACATATACTTTATTTTGCTTAATTATCATTTAGTTTATTTGAAACTAAAAGATAGCATAATAATTTCTTCATCCTACTAAACCTTATAAACAATTTCAATCAAATACAATACATATTTCTTAATTTTTGCAGATCACAAATTAGAAGTACTTTAAAGAAAAAAGCTTTTGAAGATGCTGGTATTCCTGTGCGACAAAATTCAAATTCCCAATCGCAAGCAAATAATTCTCAAAGTCAAAGTGTGATGGGAAAATCATCTGAGGTATAAAAATAGTTCTTTAAATTAACAAACGCTATATAAATAATTTATGAACAATTACTGTTTTTCTAGGTTACTCTTAATATGCTCAATGCACAAGAGAGTGAAGTAGATGTTGAAGGAATACATACTGATGTTAAATTAGAATTCGAGAATACAACAGAAGAAGTAACAGGCTGAGTTTAATTATAATTATAATTTAATATACCATAATTATGACAAAAATTTATATGAACTTTCTTACTGAATTTGTTTTTATTATTTTGGTTTAATATTCACAGTTTTGTATTCAAACAAAAAAAGGAAAAATTTTTGCAACCTATTGGAAGGAATTAATAAGTAGATGATTATATATTAAAACCCAAGTTTTTATAAATTTATTTTTTATAAAATTATATCTTTTTGTTTCATTAAAAATAGTACTTATATTTAATATAAATTATATGTTTGTATTCTAACTTGTATAATGCAAGTATATCACTTCGCCTTAAATATAATTATTTTTCTATTCCATTCTTTGCTAAATGATTCAAATATTTTTATAAATCCTTGTTCTTGAATTAGTCTTACAATTTCATCTTCAACATTGTTTCTTATCTTCAATGATTTATAAAGAGCAAAGTCATCATTCGATTTTTGCATTCGCCTTACTGCATTTTTATAGCACTTCCATGGTTGCAATTCTATTATTAACACATCCGTCATATTGCATAAATATTTCAGACAGTCAATTAAACCTTCATCGCCATTGTTGAGGTGTATCCACATTAAAACCGAAAAACAAAATACATAATTGTATTTGACTTTATTGCTAGGTAAAAAATTAAATATTGACAATCGATCCTTTTCATTCATTATATTAAGGCAATTATAAAAAACATTGCTTTTAAAATCATTGTGTAAAATAGCTCTTTCTACTAAAAGTGGATCTATATCAATGCCATATAACTTGTAGTTGGTTTTTGGTGCTTGTTTATTCAGAAAACTATAAATTGATTGAGTTAAGTTCCCGGCATTACATCCGATGTCTAGAACATGACAATTTTCATCTTGCATATTGCTCCATATTTCAGTTGGAAGTGTTTGTATTCTTTTTTCGGGTGGATGGAATTGGTAGTAATTAATAAAATTGCCATATTTTACTGCACCAGGATCAGAACCTCTAAAGCTTATATCAGATACTGTATCTGAAGGAGATCTTTCTTCATTCATATTTGGAATTGTGGTTTATAAACAGATTATTTTATTAAATATATGGTTTTGCATTTGTGTTAAGCCACAATCGATTTCATAAGTTATATCTTTATTATAAGGTTTTTACAAGACTTGTTATAAAGAAGCAGTCTCTTATAATAACCACTTTTTTTTTTTTGAATAGTTATTGAATAGCCTCCAAGAAGACGTTTGATTATATGCTTATTCACTTGTCATTTTTGAAATTTTCAATTAATGATAAAATTATAAATTTCTAATGAATTACTTAAGCACCGACCGAGCCAGGATAATTTGACATTTAAAACCACGTTGACGTTTGAAATGGAAGTTCTTGAATTTTAGGTTAGAATGCTTTAGAAATATTTGGCGCAAAATTTGAAAAAATATAAAAATAATCATTTATTTAAATATGTATTTAATTAATATTATATTTTGTAACAATATACTAATTGATGAAGTATCTGAATTACAACAGACATTACACAAAATTAATATGCATATGATGAACAAAAAAAATATTTATCCTCATAAGTGAAACTTTATATATATAAATTTTAATAAATCATTGAATGTATTAATAAAATTCATACCGTAATAAAAATATGTACTTTTAAACAAAACAATGATAATTGGATCATCTAGCAGCAAAGTTAGTTGGTCAGTTAAAATCAGATTCGTATTCGGATTCAAATTAAATCTGCGGGTTTTCAAAGGTAACAACAATATATTACATATCAAAATATATATTTTTACAAATCTGCAATATTAAAGTTGAAATTAGATCATAAATAATGTATAATAGGCACAAATGTGTGCATCAATAATTTTATTACTCTTGTTCATTTTGTTATAAATAGTATTAAAATATAAATTTGGAATGATTAAACGCAAATTGTAAGTTATTTTTAAGTAAGTTATTTATCTAAATATTTGTTGGTCGCTAATTTTCTTTTAATTTTACTGTATACTATAGAAGTTTACTTTTAATTGGCAATTTATGTTAACGAAAGCTCATTAGCATATAGCACTGTATAGTGGTACTGGATATTTTCTCTAACTCAAAAAAAACATTGAAAATGATTCATTATTGCCTAATTTCATAATTTTTCAATCTTATTCGGTTACTAATTAACTGCATTTCTGGTAACATGATGAGCTTTCTTTAAACTTTAATTATTTATACCACCATTAATGCTTTAATATTCGAAATATTGATTGAAATACCTAATTTTCATATTGTAGATACTTGATAAATTTGCATATTATAAATGAACGCAACTTTATAAGTCTATTATAATTCTATTCCTTTACAAACAAATGGAATGTTCAATCGAATCTTTGTACAAAATTTATTCATGAAACACATGAAATTCAAGGAAAATAATTTAATATTGTTCTCATTGTGCCTGCAGTATACATTTAATACTATTTTCCTTCTTGAAAATAACCGCGCATTATCACCCAGTACGTGTTTCGAATGCTTAATAAGACCCATTAAGCAAATATACTTCATAATTAGAAAGGGTTGAATCATCATGATGATTCTATTTGCAAATAGATGCAAAAATATTTCAGAATATTTCATAAATTTTAAGCTGAGTTGAAATAATTTTCCTTAGATATTATGTCATTAAGTTTTCAAAATTTTTTCAACCTATTCTGAAAACTATCATTTTAAAAAGATTTTTGGTCCTTTATTTGAAAATCAAAGATTACAAATGAACGAAGAATTGATTTAAAAATCTGTAAAAAAAGCAATAAAGATTCAATAATAATTCTAGATTCATGTCGAATTAATTCATCGACAAAGTTTTGCATATAAATCTAATTTGGTAGATATAAAATTCATTTATTAAAAATACAGGGTTTCCCAGACCTTGACATGAAACCCAAACTGCCCTGAGAAAAATTAGAAAAAATATTTCATGTTGTTTGGAAATTATGAGCTTTTAAGTGCAACCTAGAGCTTTGGTAAAATTATGACCATTTTTCGATCAGTGTGATTAATTTTTATGAATTGTAACATATCTAAGACTTCAGTAAAAATACTGCAGTTGCTTCAAGTTTTTACGAATTAAGACTTTTTGTTGAACTATAAATTCAAAATTTTTAAAATTGGTCAAATTTGAGCAGCCATCATTAAAAAAAATGCATCAAAGTATATTGGCATGTTTCATCAGAAGTTGGTGCATTCAATTACGCTTGTAAAATAGTAAAATACTTTTTCATTAATGAGCAATTTCGAGCAATGAATTAAAATCCTAAAAATGACATAATTCTTAATATGGCAAAATATTTGAAATTAGATAAATATATAGAAATTTTGAAAGCGTCATCACTATTTCGAAAAAATTTAAATGTGTGTTTAAACCTGGTGGATGAAAATATCTACCAAAATATATTTATTTTGTCGCTATTCGTAAAATAACGACATTTTAAAAATATATTTTTTATCTATTTGTTTCCTTTATTTCATTAATTTTCAATTCCAATTATTCCTTATGAGTTGCAAAACAAATATCAGATGCCAAACAAAGTGTACATTAATTCATCATGTTCAGTTGTTAATGCACCTCTTCAAAATAATTTTTATTTCGTAAGCTAAAACTAAAATTGTTTGAACAATCAAGGCAACATTACAGTGCTATATCATATTTATTATTTTATATTTTTATTAATATTCTTTAATATAGAATACAACAGTGTATGGGGTTTTCTAATGGAAAATCTCGAAGGAAAGGGTTGACAATGTGAATAGAGATAATGCGGTTAATTCGGCTGGAAAAGTTATGCTATGCACGAACTGGTACCGTCTGCCACAGGTTTGCTGCCTGGTCTGCTATTTACATCAAGAGGTATAGACATTTCCAAAATTAAAATATTTGCCTTAAAGTATCTCTTAAATAAAATTTCATTTATTACTCTCAATATCTGAAAATTATATTATGAAGATAAAGGTTAATAAAAAATATTTTTTTGTCGAATAAAGCTCTATTGATACCCTTTTCATTCATAATTATTCAATTATATTTTAGCCAATTATATACAGCAGCAGAAATGTTAATTGAAATCATACACAGGTGCAATTATAGTAGAGTTATTTCATTATTATCAAAATAATAAACTTTGAATATGAGGAACTACTTTTTAGTATTTTAAAATACGGTCAAATACTTAATGCTTGAATTTCTCAAAATACTAAGTTTTGTAATATGTATTTTTACCTGTATTTACCCATCAAAATTTGATGATTATTACTGGCAAATTTGATCCATTCTGTTGTCTTTTGCATCTTCTGTTTTAGTTTGAGGTCTAGGCGAAAAGTTTTGACGACTTATTCTTTTACTGAGGTTATTAATTAATTTATTGAGCTATCTGCAGCTTGCAATATCTGCAATTGACGTCTCTAGCTACTAGTAGTGACACTAACAAAAAGGATATTTTATAGATTTTTCAGTTTAATTTCGTTTTTACAATTAACTGCATTCATAAGCTTTATGAATAGATAATAAGTTTATTTTTTATTTCCTTAAAATAGCAATCAAGATACATTATAGAAGATCATATAGCAATTGTAAAATGAACAGAAACTGTATGTAAGAATAGGGCGAGAAACAAATCCATATAGAGAATTCTACAATTACAAGATTTTTAATGCAAAAATAATAAAAAGTTGTAAAAATTTTATAAAAATAATGTAATCTTGATTTGAGTTAAACTCCAACTCGATTCAGCGCAGAATGGTGTGAGAATTTTTCCATTGCTATTTTACACTGCAGTGACCTAAATCGGGCTATTTTCAATTAGAATTATATTTTTCATCTATATTTTCACCTAAAAAATAATGGACATTACTACTGCACGATATCAGATTGTTCACACAAGGCAACGCGTTTAACCATTTTGTCATGGAACACTCTCGATCCGGCTTCGGCCTCTATTGAGCTATAGGTATACGGACATGAATATATGTATAAAAAGCACGAAATTAAAAATATATACGATTTTAAAATTAGATCATTTTTATAGTTCAATACTGATACGAAATACCAAATCAAGCATTAAATTTATTATGTCATAGAATTTGAAAATTTTATACAAAGTTGTGATATACTAAGAGAGTAAAATAATATTTTTTCAAATTTGTCGTAATCAATTCAAATCTTTTGAATATAACCAAAATGGTCAGTACCTAATCATACTTGCACGGATCAAAGTAGTGATGTGACTTGCCAGTAGAGTGTTGGCTAAGGTTTCTATATTGATTACAAAGACAAAGTTATCAAGGAGTATCATATCGGACCCTGTTTGTACACAAACAGACACACCTATATGAAATCTCACCCTCTCTAGACAAAGCCAGAAAATACAAAGACACCGGAGCCTGGCGCTTACACCTGAGAGGGAACGCAGGCCAGAGCAGGAGCGCGGCGCCCGCCTGTTGTTGGGATTGCGGGTGGGTGAACAATGGACATCGCCGTATGAGGCAAGAAACGAAAGAAAGGGATGAGGAGTTTTACGAGGGTGTGCGTTTGAAAGCCGTAGTTTCGTGATCTTAAAATTTCATTGTTTCTTCGCGAATGTGTAAATAATGTTCTAATGAACATAAGAAAATATATATATTTTTATCATTTTTATAATAAAAGGGATGAAGAGTTTTACGAGAATGTGCGTTTAAAAATCGTAGTTTCGTAATCTTCAAATTTTATTGTTTTGTCGCAATGTGTGAATAATGTTTTGATGAACACAAGAAAATATAAATTATTTCCATATGTTTATAAGCGGTTGAATTATGAAAACTCACTCACATAGATTCTAGTCAGAATCTATGCCTTTTGTGTAAATTGTCAAAGTTTAAACTTATCCAATAATTTTTATAAAATTATTATTATTAATTATTTTATGGACATTGAACACTTTTATGTAAGAGAAGTGGTCGGATACTATATCTATGATCTCATGTTCGCATTTGTAAACTCAAATTTGTGAATAACGACATAATTTTCAAATGCTGTATAATTAGCTATTCTTGTCACAGAAATTTACAACTAGTTATAATAGTCACAAACCGTGATTTTGGGGTCCAATGTTTCATTTGATATTTTAGAATTAAGTTTTTTGTTTTTATGATTTCAATAAAAATCATAACTTAAGGGTTTTTTAGACTATTTTGATAATTTGACTAAACTAATCTCGTGGGTTTCATAAAACTCAACCCCCATACAGTTGTCCCGTCTCTGTATGATAAATTGTTCATTATTGCAATTTCTGTAATAGTAATGAATTTTTCATTGATGCAGCAA